TGTCTTCTATACTGAGCCGAAAGACGGTAAATTCTATGTTACCGCGGTGGAGGGGGGAGGGGACTCCCGTGTGAAGGGCTTGTCGAAAAATTTGAATTAAACCCCTGAAGCAGAACAATCTGGGCGTGGCTCAAGCTTTATTTGACCCCTAAAAGATAACAGATTTCATGCCTCATCAGTGTAGACCAAGTATGATGGTGTTTTGTATTTCTTCGCGTGCAACCCTAAACGATACCTTTATGGCTAAAAGTATTGGCGTCCTGTCCTGAACACCCTAAGTGATACCAAAATCCATAATTTAATCACCCCTAAAAGAGACGAGCATACCTGCCCCCCCCCCCCCCCCCCCCCGCGTATCCCACCTAAATTAAATTAAACCTTACCTCAAATTTCACGTTATCTCCAATCAGCATGAAAGGTGCCCACTCGCAAACCTTAGGATAGCCGTTTAGATCTCATCCACTTCATGGCCTCGTGAAGGGATTCACTGGCACTTTCTCCATTAACAAGGTGCTCATAGAAACGACTCATTAACTGCGCTCCGTTGGCTCTGTCGTCCAGGGCCCACAGTGCCACCAACACCGAGCGTGCACCGGATCCTAAGAAACGCTCGAGCGATTCCAACAACTCCCTCGGCTTTGATCTGTCCTTGTCCACTGTGACAACAGCTAAGTACTACCAGTTTGGCCCGCAGTTGAACTTGTGGAAATGTCGGTCATTGTCAATAGGTAGTCTTCTTCTTGTGGAATAGGATGAGTGGTGTGTGAAGGGGATAGGGCAATTTCTCCTCTTTCGGCGTTGCCATGAGCAGCAATATGTATCAGACTTACCTGAATGCAGCCTTTGAAGTACCAGCCTGCTTTGTTGCCTGCTCTCCTAACAAAGGCTCAAAACCCAGCAGTCGTCCGATCATCTCTGCTTCTTTTCTTGCACAAGGCAATTTTTTGAAGTTTCCAAGACATCCCTTGTAAAACACCTGACCCACCTTAGGATCCCCCACTATCAGTGCACCAGTCTAACTGTGATACTCTGCTGGACTGTTCTGAATGAGCTTGAGAGTCATCAAAGAAGGAACAATGCGGATCCTGAAAGTCTCGGATAAATACCTCCCACTTTCGTCAATTAATGCTGCAAATGGAACTTGTGTACAAGGATCGATCAGGAACAGATGATGATTTCGGGCTCCTCAAGTAAGTCAGCCACAGGAGCGATGATCATTCTGTAAACTGACAAATGAAGAACCGCTTCTGAATGTTGGCTTTCTCTTCGCCAGCCGCAACATGTCGCAAAGACGATGAGCTCTCTTTCTGGGATGATTTCAATTTGGGTTGAGAGCCATTTAAAGATCGATCTTCGCAATTATTCTCGGGTAAAATACCAAAGTTGCGGAAGCTTTTACCCGAAAAATTCACCCAAATCGGAAACTGATCCGATGTGAGGAAA